CTGACCAAACCACCACAGCCTCTGCTTTTGGGCCACTCTCCCTCACAAAATGGACACCACAGAGCTCCTATCTCAGTTCTCCCACACTGAAGCTCAAGCGCCTCTCCACTAGATTTGCTCCCCTTGAGTCAAATCCTAGAGAGTTACCCACGCTCTTCACTTCAGGTGACCCTAACTCTGGTCACTTTGGCTGGACAACTCGTATCCCAAGCGCTGGACACCAGTTTTATTGTGACAGCCTCCTCTCACATCACAAAGGAGCTGCCACGTCACTCTCACACCCTCACTTTATTCATGCTGCCACCAACCATTCCCTCATAAAACTCTTCAGACAAAAGTATGATTTTTAAAATAAAAACTTATGTTTATTGATAATAACAAAAGGAATGGTAAATCACTATAATAATTAAAATAAAAGGCAATCAGTATAATAAAGTACCCACACACATACTCTCTCTCAGACCTTCACTCTATATATATAGCACAGTACTACACAACATGTACAAGCCCTAACTCCCTAAGTCCCTAACCAGACCCTATCAAGTCCCTATCTGACTCACACCTCATTCACTCCCCCTTAAATACCCTAGCTCCACCCTCTTATGTTCCACCTCCCGGCACGCTATTGGCGGATGACATACAGCCACAGCAATGATGGGCAGATGACATCACCGCTACTGTAACAATCAGATTATACCATTTTACTGGCAGAAAGCAGCAATGACTTGAAATGACTTTTAGTGAAAGTGAAAGAACAAAGTACCAAAACAGGACTGCAGTAGAACACCAGACAGACCAAAATCATGACTGCAGAGGAAATACACAACTCTGACATTGACAATGAAGAAATTGAAGTGGTTAGAGATTCTGTATACCTCAATCATCAATCCAAATGGAGAATGTAGCCAAGAAATCAGAAGAAAACTGAGACCGTGAAGGGCAGCAGTGAAGGAACTAGAAAAGAGAATCAAGTGTAAGGATGTGTCACTGAAGACGAAGATGATAAAGAAAGCTTACGGGAACAAAAATGAATCATTTGAAATGTGGTGCTGGAGGATAACTTTGCGGATACCCTGTGTGATAAGCTTGGTTATGAAAGTTCATAAAATGATTTATTGATGGGATTTGTGATCACAAGGTTAGCCAGAATGAATTCATCTTGGTTTGTGTGTGTGAGTTGAGAGTGGAAATTTCCAAAGTTGATTCCTAGTTGTGCCTCTGTACAGTCCAGCATGGCCTTATCTCATAACTAAGCAACCTGGCTAGTACAGGGTGAGGAAGACTCAATAAGTTTTCCTTAAACCTCATGGGAAGAAGAAAGGGAGGGAAGCAAGAAGATGGATGTCAACAAGGACTTGGGATGGACTACATAATTCTAAGGACAGTAAGACTGAGCTTTTCCTATTGAGCAAACATATTTTCGGATTTCCAGAAGCCTGATGTATTGTTGTTTTTATAATGGACTATGGAATCTGCAGTTTTGCTTTAAAATGTAGATTTTGCTGAAG